TAGTTAAACACAAGACAAAGTTAGAGAAGATTCAGTGGTATGCCACCAGACTAATCCCGGAACTGAGAGGTATGAGCTACGAGGAAAGGCTAAAGGAGCTGAACCTCACGTCCCTGGAAAACAGAAGAGTAAGGGAAGACATGATAACCACCTACAAAATTCTCAGGGGAATTGACAGGGTGGACAAAGACAAACTCTTCAGCACGAGCGGAACACGAACAAGGGGACACAGGTGGAAACTTAGTACCCAGATGAGCCACAGAGACATTAGAAATAATTTTTTCAGTGTCAGAGTAGTTAGTAAATGGAATGCACTAGACAGTGATGTGGTGGAGGCTGACTCCATACACAGTTTCAAATGCAGATATGATAAGAGCCCAGTAGGCTCGGGTTGATTGACAGTTGAGAGGCGGGACCAAAGAGCCAGAGCTCAACCCCCGCAAGCACAAATAGGTGAGTACCAACTCATCCTCCCACCTACTCCCTTCCCTATAATCTTCCCCCCCCCTCCCCCACCCACTCTCCTTTACCCTATCATCTCCTCCCTCCCCCCACCCACTCTCCAGTCCTTCCTTCCCGGCTTGGTGTCATATCTTAAGGTTATCTTAAGGTTATCTTGAGATGATTTCGGAGCTTAGCGTCCCCGCGGCCCGGCCCTCGACCAGGCCTCCTGTTTGTTACACACCTCCAGGAAGCAGCCCGTAGCAATTGTCTCCCAGGTACCTGTTTACTGCTAGGTGAGCAGGAGCATCAGGGTGAAAGAAACTCTGCCCATTTGTTTCCGCCTCCGCCGGGGATCGAACCCGGAAGCGTTTGACTACGCATCCCGAGCGCTGTCCATTCAGCCGTGCTTCTTTTGATAATTACTTAATTTCCCTATTTTCTCCTCCATCCATCTCCTTCCCCACCCACCCACTCTCCTTCCCCACCCACCCACTCTCCATCCCCACCCACCCTCTCTCCCTCCACCCCTCACCCACTCGCCCTCCCATTATCTCTTCTTCCTTTGTCCACTCTCCCTTCCCCATCTAATATTCTTCTCCCTCCCCCCACCCACTCTCCTAGCTTCTTCCTCCACCCACTCTCTCTACTCTCCTCACCCACTTTCTCTATTTTCCCCACCCACTCTCCCTCCTCTCCCATTCCATTATATGTGCTACCTACACACTGAAATTCCCAGTGAAATCAGTGGAGTTCCGGGTTTGTCGGCCGGATATTAAACTCTGTACCGAGCAAACCCAACGTGCTCATCATTAGCTATGCTGATGATATAATGATACACGCCACTGGGTATGCTACCACACAGAACACTCTTAACTCTGTTTTAGACTCATGTCAGGACCTAGGTTTAGTCATCTCTGCAGAGAAAACAAAGAAACTAAATCGGCGCCTACCCAGGCAGGGAGGAGCTGTTCGCAAGATGCAACTGTATGATGGCTCCCAGCTTGGCTATGTTAAATTAACAGTTTCAGTACTTTGGCCTTGAGGTGCCACTGTATGGTCCTGTTGTATTCAGACTCTGTCGTCAGTATAAAGAGAGGCTCAGAGCTCTCAAGGCTGGTGCAGGTCATCACTCAGGCTTTGGTGCCAGTGTCAGAATTGTCAAAATGATGTACCTTGCATACATTAGATCTTTAGTGGATTATGCTGCACCTATGTTTGCTTTAATGCCTGAAAGAAAGCTTGGAGGGCTTGAAAAAACTGCAGAACGAAGCCTCGAGGATAATCCTTGGCTGCCTTTGTACCACAAAGATACTTAACACGAGAAAGGAATTTTATATTTCGAGCGTCGTTGCTCGTGTTGCTGAAATTAACTGTCAAATTCGTTTAAAAATGCTTAGGCTAGATCATCCTAACCCTTGCACAGAAGCCCTCCAGAATTTATTTATTGAGAGTCAAAATTGTTCCAAATGGATAACTAAAAAGAACTGAACTCAGAATGTATCAGATTTATAATATGTACCAAGAGAGACAACACCAGCACTTTTCTGCACCGTAAGGGATTACACCCTTTTTTTCCAATTTTAATCTCTTCCTTTCCACCCAAGAAGCAAATTAGAGATCAGCCCAAGCTTCGTCTTGAGGCAAAGCTCAACGCCTTAAGCCATACTGATGCTCTGTCCACAGAACATTCTTTCTCAAATCATATACACTGATGGTTCCCTATACCGCCCAATGGGTGTAGCTGGAAGTGCAGTTACACACAGAAATCACAATAGTGTGATGCATCAAATGAATAAATCCACAAGGGCCGTGATGAGGGTTTGAACCTATGTCCGAGAGGATCCCAGACGCTGCCTTAATCGACTGAGCTACAACATGGTCAAAAGAATTGCAACCAGAAGTTCTACTGAACTTACTTGGATCCTGCAGCCTCTCCGAGACACAAACCAGGGTTTTACACAATTCCCCCATGCATTTGAGCTCTATCATGGGGGAATTGTGTAAAACCCTGGTTTGTGTCTCGGAGAGGCTGCAGGATCCAAGTAAGTTCAGTAGAACTTCTGGTTGCAATTATTTTGACCATGTCGTAGCTCAGTCGATTAAGGCAGTGTCTGGGATCCTCTCGGACATAGGTTCAAACCCTTGTCACGGCCCTTGTGGATTTGTTCATTTGAAGTGCAGTTGTCCTGACAATGGGTGATGGCTTATATTTTGAGTGGGGAGTCCGTATAAACAACTGGGCCTCTACCCTTCAGACAGAACTATTTGCCTTGCTTCTTGCACTGAAATGTGTATGTCTCCAAACTTGATACATTAATTGTAAGTGATGCTTTATCATCCTTAATTACTCCCAACTCTTTAAGACATAACTGTAACATGCTCGTGTCTGAAGCTAGACACAAATACAACAAAATTATTAATGACAGTAACAGAGTCCATTGATAATACCCTGGATTAATCCTTGGATAATCCTTGATAATACAATAAAGGTGAAGGTTTCACCTATATTGTATTATCACCCGACCCAGTGCGGGTATAAAATCAACCAGCATTGTAAGATCTGTTCACTTGAGAATGAACCATGGAGGTTCGAAACGTTGTGCAAATTGTATAAATAAGTGTAATACACTCTATAGTAAATCACTTCTTTTCTTCACCTTAAAAGTACGAAAATGAGTTTTGGAGAACTCCTATTTCAACTAAGCCCTGATGCTAAGAAAATAGTTAGAGGGATAGAAGCCCATATATATATATATATATATATATATATATATATATATATATATATATATATAGGATATATATATATATATATATATATATATATATATATATATATATATATATATATATATATATATATATATATATATATATATATATATATATATATATATATATATATATATATATATTTAACCAATAGGATAACTTACCAATATTTACTGTTTGAAGCATATAATGGGTGTAGAGTCCTTCCACGTCTTTACAGTATGGATCATCCAATAAAATCAGCAGACTTCTAGATGTTACTACTGCTCGGCTTAGACTCGGTTACAAGTATCTGGGAATTCTCATTATCTGCTGATGTAGACCTGACCAAATGTAAACTGTGTCAACAAAATTATTCACACATCCTCTGATGGAGGGTGTATTCACCTAGTTGTGCTTGTGGGGGTTGAGCTCTGCTCTTTCGGCCTGCCTCTCAACTGTCAATCAATCAAACTGTTACTAAATACTACAAAAAAAAAAAATCCCCACCCCACCCAACACACACACCCAGGAAGCAGCCCATAACAGCTGTCTAACTCCCAGGTACATATTTATTGCTAGGTAACAGGAGCATCAGGGTGAAAGAAACTCTGCCCATTTTTTTGTGCCATCACCGGGGATCGAACTCGTACCCTAGGATTACGAGTACAGAGCGCTGTCTACTCAGCTATCAGGCCCCATGTGGTGGAGTGCAAAAAGATACGTGAATTCAGAGACAATTCTATTTCAAAGGTTCCAGAGATGTGTAAATATTTCATTCAAAATGATCTGCTACCAAGGGCGCCTGACAGCTGGGTGGACAGCACTTCAGATTCATAGTCCTGAGGTTCCGGGTTCTAAGCAGTAAATAGGAACCTGGGAGTTAGACAGCTGCTACAGGCTGCTTCCCGGCCGCGGGGACGCTAAGCCCCGAAATCATCTCAAGATAACCAGAAATCTTAGCCAAATATCCCCAGTTTGCTAAGTGTAGGTAGTAACTAAGTGATTGTAACCTATCCACTGCTGCCCACTGGATGGGGGCGGTGTGCAGGACAAACAAATCAATTGTGACACTAGGCTCTCCACATGTCAGCTGTTTAATTTAGAAACTGTACTTGTGTCCGGTCTCGAGCCCATTGTTGATGTGACGATGTGCATTGAATTTTGTAACCAGGTGATCAAGATTGTAACTTGCTTAGCTAAATGAATTGTGGGGTTCAGTCCCTGAGCCTATTATGTGCTTCTGTAACCCTTTCCACTACTGCCCACAAGGTGGGGTATTGGGTGCATAATAAATGAACTAAACTAAACTATTTGGTGAGCTGTTTTATGCTTTTACAATTTAATTGAGCTAAATAGAATGTGTTTTGCTTCGTTTGACTGAAAACTTTTGCCTTTAATTTTTAAATCTTTGTTTTGTGTGATGTTAGGGAATAAAAAATAAAAAAAAAATTAGGAGATGAGATTGTCATGCTATTTTCTGATCTTAAATATTTGTTTTAAATGGCTTATTATTTTTCCTCCCTTAAAGTCTGAATAAATTTGGTTCTTACAGACATCATGTAATTTAAGTCTTGTTTCATTACTTCTTGTGTTCATTACAGTACTTCTTGTGTTGGGGCAAAACACCTGATTAGGCAATATTCTGTCACAAGTACGACATTTATAACGGCATACAATATGCATCAGTGTTTTGTACAGAGTACTGTACACACTCGCCACAACATCGCCTCTCTTTTCACTTGCTACAACGACTATATCTGCCACAACTGTTTTTATATATATCCATGTTTTTCCTGTTGCAGGCGGGTGCTGCGGAGCCACGACCAAGAAGACTATTGTAGGCGGGTGGGCGTGGGCATGGTGGTTTGTGACAGATGTCCAGCGGCTCTCCCTCGAGGTGTGTACACCTGACCCTTATCCTGCCATATTCTATAATGCATGCGTAGATTAAAGGTTACTGACTCCTTAGAAGGGATGACTGTGAAGCAGGAGGAGTGGGGGGGATGACTGCATGTTGTTCATGGGTTCCAAGAACAGTTAAAAGTTTGGGTTATACATGGTAACTTTGGTAAGGCCTGTTAGTGATGACAAGAGAAAATATTGATTAAATAAAAAGTTATCATCTCCCAACCTCCTCATCATAGAAGTGGGGACAGGATAACTTGGTATAATATCTTAACTTAGTGGCTATCTCAGCTTGGTATTGACCACCAGCCTGGGAGTTCTCGACACATCCTCTTCCAGTTACTTCATTTTTTCTAACTCCTTAAGCATCCTATGATGGATGAGAATTGGGTGATATTGACTTTGGTAGGAAAGCTGTTGCTGTGGGAGTTAAATAATGTCTATGTCTTGAGAAAAAATTACATACAGTATTGTATCTTGCAGAAATGTGTAAATGCATGTTTATTTCTTATTTGCTGGCATAACATTCAGTTTGTTATTATAGGATACAGTATTTAGATCCAAATTCTTTAATCTAGGTTGAGATATTTTTACCTTGCAGAATTTCATGTTCATGCATTTGAAATACCAGTATATACTGTATAAACTAAACTAAATCTAATCTAAATCTAAATCTAAATAAACTAAACCTGTGCTGGTACTGATGTTTCTCTATTCAAAATTATATTAAATATTAAACAATAAAAATATTGAAATCCTAATTTTGTCCAATTCAGTAGGTAATTATTAATACTATGTATACTGTAGTATATTTACAACTACAGTTATCTTTGTGCTACATTATTTGTAGGTAATCACGTTAAACCCAAGATGTGAGAACGTGGAGACGTCGCTGGGCGTGCAGGTGACTGTGACAGGTGTGGCCCAGGTGAAGGTTATGAAGGATTACAAGGTACTGAAAATAGCCTCAGAGCAGTTCTTGGGCATGAGTATTGAAGACATCAAGGGCACCATCCTCATGACACTTGAGGGCCACCTCAGAGCAATTCTCGGTAAGCAGCAATTTTTTATCACGGTGTTTAGTAGGGTCAGAATATTTGTTGTCCTGGTGCGCTGGAAATTACTTATCATATACTATTAATTGTAATGTACATTAGTATAGACAGTTAATTGTTTAAAACTAGATTTTTAATAAGTTTTGGATTGTCCTGTAGTACTGTATTTTATTTACACTTGAGTGGTGTAACTTAAAATTTAACTTTTTATGTACTGTACGTTTATGCAGTACAGTGCACTAAGCATGATTTTTTTTTCATTTCCGTTTATCAATTTCTATTTCCCCAGCCACACTGACTGTTGAAGAGGTTTACCAAGATCGAGACCAGTTTGCTCAGCTGGTACGAGAAGTTGCTGGTATGGACGTGGGAAGGATGGGTATTGAAATACTCTCCTTTACCATTAAGGTAAATTACAATTTAGAATGATATAGCCTGTAACTGTGCTCCTTTTTCAAGCAAGTAATGTCCATTCAGGATACTCTTACTATAACTATTAACAGATTCAGTTACAAGTAGGGTATCCATATTCTCTCAAGATAAACAAAGGGATTTTTACTGAAGGTACTCATGAGTGATAAATGTAGATACATTGAAATGTTTTGCCTGTTTAGTCATAACTCAAGACTCCACACACAGTTAACATAAATAAAAAATGAAGGTTTCAAAGATTGTGTTAAATATTTTTAGACATAAAAATCACTAGTGTTTTAATGTATGGAATGGTATTGTGTGTGCTATATTTTATATGAAAAATTTTGTTACAGTATTAACCAACACCTAAAAATTTATATTCACATTTTAGTTAGTTAATTTTTAATTAATACTTCTAGTTTCAATTCAGATATATACATACAAGAATTTGAGATTTTTCAAATTTGTTTTACTGTACTGTACTTGGATAATAAATGTTTTAGTATTAACCCTTGCACTGCTCACCTATTTTCGGCAAAAACGTCTTGGTGCAATTGACAAGGACATATTTTTGTTATTTTTACAAATGTTCAGGTAAATTTAATGTCAAAATGTTTCCAAAGTCAACTATTTCCATTTCAAAACACAAATAGTAATGAAAACATTAAAAAACATTAAAATATAGCCAAATTAAAAAACAAAAAGAACAACTCTCTGAGCGCCTAAAGGCGCTTTGCGCAGTGCAGTGGTTAAATTAGCTTATCAATTTTAAACAAGTTACAGTAAAAATAATTGACAATAAATTTTACATTTATTGAATTGTTTGTTGATATTTGTGTTCATAAGACAGTGAACAACATAAGTGCATGAATATCAGTGGTAAAATGTGAAAATATTTAGTCGTACAGTGTAGGATATATACCCAGTAATATTGTAACAGGATTTAGTACAGTAGTTTAACAATTTTGACTAAGTCTACTGAAAAGTTATGTAGTAAGTAATGTTCAACAAAACATTAAACATTCAGGATGTGTATGATCGAGTGGAGTACTTGTCATCCCTGGGCAAGTCTCAGACTGCAGCAGTCAAGAGAGATGCTGACATTGGTGTGGCTCAGGCCAACAGGGATGCTGGCATCAGGGTACGTTCGTCACACTCCCAAATAAAGAGGGAGCTTTATTCCTCTTGTCTTTTTTGTTGGTTACCCTGTATTTTACCTCAATTCACTTGAAAGCCAGTGTTAATAGTGGCCTTGAAGGGTAAAGAAAGCCTTCGTATCACGAACATCTCACCATACTGTACTGAATTTTCTCTGTTGCATTTTTGAGTTGAGTGCTGTTGTAGCATCAGATGTGTTGCTCTCTTGAAACAGTAATTGGCATTCTTTTCTGAAAAATTGCTTTTAAATAAACTTGAAGTTGTCTTTAATTTGTGTAGCACTGTTCACAGTGAAAAAATGATCATGGTATAAGTTTTCTAATCAGTCAAGTATCTGCAGTGTTTGAGTTATTATTCTTGTATTGAAGGCATGTTGTCTTAGTATTTAAAATTGCTTAGTTCTGGGATGATTTGGGTCTCTATGGATTGTATAAAGCAAGAATGCGGAGCAAAATGTAGAAAATAAGAACAACAAAAAAGATAGTTTAATACAAATTAATTAAAGCTTTTGTCAATGGGGTGTTGACATTTTCTGTGCTTAAAATAGTTGAATTTATGATTTAAACATTGATATACTATGCCCTGCATACAAGATTTAATGCTTAATATGGAAATATAGTTACTGTACAGTACAATCAGAGTAAGGATACATCATTATATTGTTCTGTGTAGCATTGTATAAAGTGTTATTAATTAAGATAACATCCAACATAATCTTTGTTCATTGAGTTGTATATTTTATTGGTTTTTGGTGTAATTTGTATACTGTATATTAAACTATTTTGATTATAGGAAGCTGAAGCTGAAAAAACAGCAATGGATGTAAAGTACAACACAGACACAAAAATTGAAGACAACGCTAGAATGTACAAACTACAAAAGGCCCAGTTTGACCGAGAAATTAATACTGCGGTAAGTTTATTGAACTTGACATTTCCTCATAAATATTATATTAGTCTAGGGGGCCAATTCATATACAGTAATTTCAATTAAATGTCTTGTTTGAGGTTACTGCACTGATATTAAGATTCATCTCTTTGCTGTCTCTTAAACCAAGATCACTATCAATTCTCCTTTTATTCTCATCAGTCATTGTCCTTTCTCATAACGTAACTTTAAGTTTGTTACATCTCATTATGGTGATGCACCATGTATCTATCATTGTCTTATTTTACATAACACTGTTATGTAATCAGGCAATCATTTAGGATATTCTTCTTATCACTTTTTCATTGTATATGCTACATACTGTACTTTACATGCCTCTCTATAGGCACATATGTATTTGGTTATATTTATTGCATTTAGTACTGTATGTAATTAATTACAAACATTACATTAATTACATAATTACTTATTTCTACAGTTGATGGGCCCTTGCATGATTTTAAAGGGTATTATTGGCCAAGTTTTTATTTAATTTTAATTTTTCAGAAAGCAGAAGCCCAGTTGGCTTACGAACTCCAGTCAGCGAAAACACGACAGAAAATCAGAAATGAGGAAATTGCTATTGAAGTTGTGGAGAGGAGAAAGCAGATTGAGGTAAACATTTTGCTAAAACTATAATTTATTCATGTCTTAAATTAATCTGTCTATATTGAGCTAAATGTCTTGTATAGTCACTTACAATGTCTTGTAAGTGACGCGCTGTCATTTTCTCTGTTTGCTGTGGGTGCTAAGGCAGGCTTTTGGACTTTAGATGCATTTATGCCTCTAGAGAATTCTATTGCGAACACAATGATACCAAAATGAAAGACCTAGGACGAGAATTGAGGTGACCAAAATGAAAAGAATGTACACATTTTATTGCTCTTGCGCGATCCTGGATAACTCGCTCTCACTTTCTGATTGCTGCGAGTGGTAAGCCGGGTTTTTGGAGTTTATATGCATTTACACCTCTAGAGAATTCTATTGTGAGCACATTCATACCAAATTGAAAAACCTATGATGAGAATTGAGGTGACAAAGTTGAAAAGAGTATACACTTCTCAGTATTACTGCGCTCTCTAATGGAAGGCCTGGAGCTCTCTTCTGAGTAACCGTGGCCTGCTTTCATCACGTCGGCGGGTGGAGAGTGCTACGGTTTTTGACATTATATGCATATACCCCTGTTGGGAATTCTATTGCAAACACATTGATACCAAAATGAAAGACCTAGGACCAGAATTGAGGTAACCAAAGTGAAAAATGTACACATTTTATTGATCTTGCACGCTCCCGGGTAACTCGTTCTCACTTTCTCTATTTGCTGCGGGTGGTAAGCCGAGCTTTTGGAGTTTACATTCATTTAAGCCTCTAGATAATTCTAATGCGAACACATTGATACCAAATTTAATATCTTAGGGTGAGAATTGAGGTGACAAAGTTGAAAAGAGTATGCACTTTTCAGAATTACCGCGCACTCCCGTAAAATGCCAAACGCCATCTGGGGTAGTGTGGCGCTCGTGGGCCCAAAGCGCCAAAGTGTTAAGGGTTTTTCCCACACCTTGCCTGAAATGCTGTGCGTATTAGTAGCTTAAGGTATAATATGTACTAGCTCTATCTAGAATCTAACATTCTGTTTGTAACTCATTTTGAATGTACAGTATGTACTTTTACATGAATAAACATTATCTTATTATATTATCATCATTTTATATATAAGTTGTTCAAGAACTGGCACACACAAGTCTCTAAGCCGAGCAATTTACATCTGTGGTGAGCCAGTTACGTAATTACTAATCATGTACCCAACACTCATCCAATGGGCAGTTGTGGAAAGTTTAGCCATGTGCATACACTATCTGCAGTAAGCAAGCTTTGGATATTTGGCTAAGCTTTCTGGTAGTACAGTACATCATTTGAATGAAATACTTAAATGTTTCTTGAACATTTGGAATAGTTATCTTTGAATTTTGCAATTTTTTCTCATTCAGTTACATAGTAATGGAAGGTATGTGAATAGCTCTGCTGACAGAACTCATTTGGTTAGATCTACTTCAGCAGGTGTTGCAAACTACCAAAGGTACTTGTAGCCGAGCCAATGTCTAGCAGTAGTACAGTCTAGAAGTCTGCTGACCTTATTGGATGACCAATAGATATCTCTCTTCATGCATAATATAGTACTGTAGTAAAATGTATATATTTATAAATAAATGTTTCCAGTTATGCCATCCCAATGATTCATTCTTGATTGCCTTCATGCAGTTGAATATACAGTAAATCTATTTTATTTTATTATATCTATTCCTGAGTTTAGGTTGAAGAGCAAGAAATCAAAAGAAAGGAGAAGGAGTTAATGGCCACAGTTCGCCTGCCTGCTGAGGCCGAGAGTTACCGTGTAGAAACCATAGCACAAGGCAAACGTACACAGGTAAGGTTCATGTTGTTATATTAAAACTGTTACATGAGGTAGATATATGCAGGTAAATTATTAGTCACCATGTACACATGCTTGTACTAAACATATAAATTCTAGAAAGTAGAGACCACTACATAAGTACTCATTAAAATCATCTAGATAACGTAGAGGTGTGCAGGTGAAAGAAAAATTATAGTATGAAAGCACAGGCATGTAAAGTGAGTTTCCATATAGAAGTTATCGTATAAGGCAGATGCAGGATTAGATTAATTACTATTTAAGAAGCATTGCAAAGAATTGCTGGTAATAGATATTTTAATATTACCTTTTATACTGTGTATATATTTCATTTTGTAACAATGAAAGTAAAAAATGGTGTAATAATGATATGCAAATTAGTATTTAGCTTTTGTAATTTCTTATTTGTTTGTAGACTGTGGAAGCAGCCAGGGCTGAGGCCGAGAGGATAAGGCGCATCGGTGAGGCGGAGGCCTATAGTGTGGAAGCGGTGGGCAAGGCTGAAGCGGAGAGCATGAAACTGAAGGCTTTGGCCTATAAACAATATGGAGAAGCTGCAATTATGTCCATGGTGTTGGACAGCTTGCCTCAGGTAATTTATTTAATGAATTGCATTCAATTTTTGTTAAATTATGAATGACTGAATATATTAATAGTGTATAGTAGATTGTATTTAGAGTGATCAGTAACTAAACAAACAAACTGATCATTTGACCAAGTAATTGAATTGTACACATGGACAAGTAATTGAATTGTACAGTGTAAGTAAATTACGTAATCATTTTAAATTTGTAACATTAATCCTCTCTAGTGTGCTTTCAGCAAGATCTACTGTGACTTGTCGTAAAGTAATGCAACAGTCTATCAGTTTGTTCATGTTTTGTTTATGTACTGTACCATGTTCTTATCCTCATTTCTTAGCAGCATGCACGCGGCACTCTTCATCATATCTGTGCTTGTTATCTTTTGTAACAATGTTTCTTTTTTAAATTAGATTTTGATAAACAGAATCAAACTTAAAAAAGAATTATATATATATATATATACTGCATCAGCTATTCCAAGGGAATCCTTAGTCTTTAGTACAGTATTGGTGAATGGTTCATGCTGCATCCATGTAAACAATAGTTATTATGGTTATCAGTGGATCATGTTACATCCATGTAAACAATAGTTATTATGGTTATCAGTGAATCATGTTACATCCATGTAAACAACAGTTATCACAGTTATTGAGTGAATCATGTTGCATCCATGTGAACAATAGTTATCATAGTTATCAAATAAATCATGATGCATTCATGTAAACAACAGTTATCAAGTAAATAACAGTCTCTGTGGCGTAGTGGTAAGACACTCGCCTGGCGTTTCGCGAGCACTTTGGCCTGGGTTCGTATCCTGGCCGGGGAGGATTTATTGGGTATCAATCCATAACTGTAGCCTCTGTTAAGTGATTTGGCAGGTCATATTCCTGGGAATATTAGGATTAAGGACTTGCCCAAAATGCTATTCATGCTAGTGGCTGTACAAGATTTTAAGTACTCTTGTATATATAAATAAAAAAAATGATGCATCCATGTAAACAACAGTTTATCAAGTGGATCATGATGCATGTACAGTAGACAACAGTTATCATAGTTATCAAGTGAATCATGATGCATGTAAACAACAGTTATCACGGTTATCAAGTGGATCATGACACATGTAAACAACAGTTATCATAGTTATCAAGTGGATCATGACACATGTAAACAACAGTTATCACGGTTAACAAGTGGATCATGCCGCATGTAAACAACAGTTATCACAGTTATCAAGTGGATCAAGATGCATGTAAACAACAGTTTATCAAGTGGATCATGATGCATGTACAGTAGACAACAGTTATCATAGTTATCAAGTGAATCATGATGCATGTAAACAACAGTTATCACGGTTATCAAGTGGATCATGACACATGTAAACAACAGTTATCATAGTTATCAAGTGGATCATGACACATGTAAACAACAGTTATCACGGTTAACAAGTGGATCATGCCGCATGTAAACAACAGTTATCACAGTTATCAAGTGGATCAAGATGCATGTAAACAACAGTTATCACAGTTATCAAGTGGATCAAGATGCATGTAAACAACAGTTATCACAGTTAACAAGTGGATCATGACACATGTAAACAATGGTTATCACAGTTATCAAGTGGATCAAGATGCATGTAAACAATGGTTATCATGGTTATCAAGTGGATCATGATGCGTGTAAACAACAGTTATCACAGTTATCAAGTGGATCATGATGCATGTAAACAATGGTTATCACAGTTATCAAGTGGATGTTGTAGGTTTCACTGGGTCCTGTGGTGTTGGTTGGAGCTGTTCATTCTAATTTTTAGTTAATAAATACAATTTGTAAATTTTTTAATAAAAACTATGAAGGGAGAAAATATAAAAGTACCGTAGGTTATGTTGCAAATCACACAAAACCAAAACGGAATATCAAATCGAGAGAGAGAGAGACAGAGACAGAGAGAGAGGCAGAAACAGAGACAGAGACAGAGACAGAGACAGGGAGAGAGTGGAAATATCAAAGGTCTGCAGTGTTAAAGTAGTTGAGTCAGTGCTCCCTATAGCAGCAAATGCAAGAGGAAGCATACAGATCTTTTGTACAGTACAGTACTTTAAGATACATCATTATTTTGTGGTACAGATTATTTTCCACTGACTAAATTATCATGTCTCATTGGCAAAATCAAGATACCTTAATAAATAATGACAAATGCATGAATAACTGCAACTCAACATGCACGAATAAATAAAGACAAATCAAGATGCACTACAAGTCCTTGCCACAACCTCAACAGCCAATGATGTTACGGAGGGAGCAACATGCAGGCTGCTAAATGAGTTTGTCTAATTGTTTAATCTAATGATAAATATTTAATAGAGCTGCATGAATAAAAAATTCAAATTCAAAAAAATTCAAATGTTTATTCAGGTAAAGTACATACATACAAGGTGTGATATAAACATTGATGGATTTATAGATAGAGCTAGTACATACAGTGCCTAAAGCCACTGTTACGCAAAGCGTTTCGGGCAGGAAAAACACTTAAGACTAAAACTTGATACTAATTGAGAATTTGAATTTGAATTTTGAAAAAATTGCTCTTGAAAATCCACCAAAAAAATTTTGAAAATCCACCAAGAATTGCTCCGAGGTGGCCCTCAAGTGTCATGAGGATGGTGCCCTTGATGTCTTCAATACTCATGTCCAAGATCTGCTCTGAGGCTATTTTCAGTTAATCACCTAGATTAAGCTCCACTGAATCTGACCAGTAGCTAATTGAGTGACCACAGATAAGGGGATCCCAATAAGCCTAATAATTATCCTTTGCCTGCTACGCATTTGTCAAAAAGATCTCCAACTCCTGGCCCAATATGTGCACAGTAATTCTTGATGTGTATAATGTATTGTATCAAGCACTGTAACCAAGTTTTATATAAAGACAGCTTATAAAAGTGTTCTTTATACTGTATGGTATAGTTTAAGTATTGTCTATAAGTGAGAATAATGCACACAAAGTAACCATATCAATCCTTGATCTCCGTGGATGCCACTTGATACATTAAACTGTGTATTATCAAATACTGTCTAATAATAATATTTTGCTCAGATTTGTAATTTGTAATTGATAAACGTTGCCTCGTAATTGGTAAACGATAACAAGTTCAGAATTATGCAAAATGTATTCACAAATCTGAAAAAGTTTTTAAATTTATTTATTAAGCATTTGTAGCATACTGTAGTCATTCATAGTCTTTTATAAGTTTTATGCATATGGTATATTCAAGAACTTGTTTTCATGCATTATTTTAAACAGCATGAACTGCTTGCTGTCTAATATACACTGAGATTCATTCCCATCACCGTACCGTCGACCACTTCTCTGCTGTTGCCGTGGGATGCTTGTCAAACTGGTTATAATTTTTGCAGTGTGAAAGCTCACCTCTATTCCACGTGTAAATAGAGTTTATAATGATGAGATATTTCTGCCATGGGTCAGCAGCCTCTCTAGGTTTTGCTCCCCAGGTTTTGGTGAAAAACAATGTTATTTTATGTACAGTATATGCTGTAATGTGTATATATATCCTAGCATTCATGTATATTTATTGTATTACGAAGTACCATAATTATCTTACAAATTAAAGTTTATCATAATATAGTATACTAAACATCGAATAGTATAATTTTCTTGAAGTACAGTACTTGTACTGTATATGCTCTAGGTAAACTTTTATTCTTGTACATGTGTAAACTACTAGCATACTGCTATAGTTATTTTAGCATGCATTATTCAAATTAATAATTATATTGATAAATGATTGAGGGTCATTTTTTAAATTGAATGGCATGATCGTCACATGTGTCAATATTTGTGTGTTAGAAATAAAATTATTTGTATTGAAAATGAGGTGGGACTCACCATGGAGTAATATGTAGTCTTTAGACATGAGATCAACACAGGCTTGTGCGTAATTTTACATCCTAGTCCTGCAAGAAAAAAAAATGTCATGAAAAGAGAGCAGGTATTGTATACATTAGACACTTGATACAACAGATACACATTACTGGAAACCCTGTTTATTATCAAATGATGTATTTTTTTTTAATAACATTGATTCATTCCACTGTCAAAATTTATGTTGATTAAAAATATGCTCAAATTTGTTGTGGATAACAATGAACCAGAAGTGCTGATTTGGGTTGTGGCCACTGGTACAGTATTAATATTTGTTTCACTTACAGTCTGCAAAGTGCTTTAAAATCAATTAACAAAGTACTGTACTGTACAGTACTTCATAATACTAATTTAAAGATCGACCAAATATGAATACAGAAACATAACCACCCAAAACATCAGCTATTTCTGCCTTACTTTTTGTTGACTTGCTGCTGTGCTTTAATAGCATTATATCAGTTTCACTGCATTGCATAAATTTATGATCTTTCATTGAGTTGTTCCACTCTCCTTCATCCTAAGGTAAGATCCATCCCGGCTCCAAAGGAATGGACCATGATAGTCAGGGGAGAATGATAATTGGCAAAATTGCAACATGGATTTTTTTTTTAATGTTCCACTGGGTTATATTGGTTTTAGGATGGCAGTGGAGAAGATCTTAGTCCTTCCAATAGTTATTACAGAAAGTTCATTCATAAATATTCAAAGCCTTTCCAAGCTCCTACTTGGCCTTACAAATTCCACTACGTAGTATCAGTTTTTCCACTTGAAGGCTACCCCTTTCCTCCATCAGATGGCAACATCTACATTAACACCTGGGCTCCCCTTCCTTGGAGCCTAATCACATTTTTCCTGTTTGATTTTCATGATAGTTTGATAAGCTTAAGGCTGGATTCAGTTAAGTGGCTTGTTTTCATTATCAAAAGCTTTGTTTTACTGTAAAATATGCTCATACTTTATATATTTAGAAGACTTCTTGTGCATATACAGTACAGGCAAGTTTTTGTTTCTTAATGTAACTGCCTGGCAATCCAAATTTGCCTTTTGTGTTCCAGTTCCAATTGCTCTGTTTAAGGGTGAGCTGTTGTTTACTCCTCAAGGTCTAGGTTTAACCTAGTTCTTTAAGTCTCCCTGGTATTTGTTTTTATTTAGTTTATTTTGATCATGGGTTACCTTGACCGAAATAGAGAGCCGGTCGGCCGAGCGGACCGCACACTGGACTTGTGATCCTGCGGTCCCGGGTTCGATCCTGGGCGCCGGCGAGAAACAATGGGCAGAGTTTCTTTCACCCTATGCCCCTGTTACCTGCAGTAAAATAGATACCTGGGTGTTAGTCAGCTGTCACGGGCTGCTTCCTGGGGGTGGAGGCCTGGTCGAGGACCGGGCCGCGGGGACACTAAAAAAAGCCCCGAAATCATCTCAAGATAACCTCAAGGAAGATCTCAAGAGATAACCTTCACCCATTCAGCATGGCTTGGACCTTCATTTCTGATCTCTTTGTGTACCAAGTATCTTTATTTTGGTCAGTCAGAATGTGACCGGGTTTCAAACATGGAACACAGGTGTGTTTCATGGGTGCTACTATCTGTTGGTGGTACAGGGTAGTGAACAGATGGACAAACTGGTGATGTGCAAGATTGTGAAAGGACCTGTGAAAACTTGTACAGGTTCTAGGCTGGACTGAGAATTCTCCAGTACCACCCTAGCAGTAGTATGACCAAACAAATATTTTAAAATGTTCCTATTGTGGCAGGGAAGAATGTCACCCACTTATGACTTGCCATCTTTTATGATCTGGGTGGGCTTTTCCTTTGGGAGCATCTGATGGTCTAGCTCAGAAAATAGCTTTTTATTTTACAATAAAGCCTGAATTTCTGTTATTACATAGAAACAATGCATGTAATATAAGGCCATGTAGCATTGAGCATTGATTATATATTTATAATTTAAGTGCATTTTTAAGTGTTTCTTACAAGATATAAAATTATGTACCTGTAATCGACTGTAATTCAGAAGTATATATAATGGTGCTTATATGTCTTAAGTGATAATCAATTATTTTGTCACAAAATATATACAGTATATATATGTTTTTATTTTCTGTATCTTTTGGAATACTTGAACTCATCTCTGATCTTAACACTTTCGCGCTATCTGGACGCGCCGGCGCGTCCCGTTTCGTCTAACGCTAACGCATAGTGGACATAAAGTTGAGTCCTCTTTTAAAATATTTGTATAAAATTCAATTTTTATCCGATTTACTTTGGGTTTGTTTCAAACTGCGCGCTATGAGGCTCTTTCTCACCACTAGGCTGCATGGTACAATAAGTTCATGAAAGGTGTGGATAACTCCGATCAAATGGTATTTTGTCACAAACGGGTTGCAGATGGGTGACTTTAGCCGTTTATACTGGTAATGCTTCCCCCATATCATGTATTATATGCATATGTCTGTGCAACAAGTATAAACTTGACAAACATAACAAAAGTAAAAACATTTCGTGTGTGTTTGACGCTCACTGATATGTTCCAGCGTTGTTTTATATTTGGCGCTATTCTAACTTACGCTTTGTTGATATTTTTTACCTATGGGCACATAGAACATTCTATTGCAAACACATTGACACAAAAATGAATGACGTACATAGAAAATTAATGTCATGAGAGTGAAATAAGTATAAACTTTCAAAGCGCCGTGCGTCGTCCCGTCACCGATACCGGGTAACAATTTCACCACTTCCCACACTCTTGCGGGCGGGCCGCATCATTATTCTACGCTTATATTCATATCACCGTGTTGGGAATTTCATTGCGAGTCCATTGATACCAAAATTAACGCTGTAGAATAAGTGTGGAGGTGATTACAATCCCAAGAGTAAAAACATTTTGTTGCTGATGGGCGCTCACGGCGAGTCATCTTCGTAGTTATTTATTTGGTGCTGGTATCCCTATACGTTTCGTGACTTTTTTTACGGATGTTCTTCTAGAGAATTTTATTGCGAACACGTTGGTACCAAAATGAAATACGTAGCATGAGAACTAAGGTCAGAAGAGTAAAAAGAGTATACACATTTTTGTTTTTACGCTTAAGCGATAAAACGCTGCGCGCACATTCGGTTGGCTGAGTGACCTTTGCGGAAAGCGCGAAAGTGTTAAAATAATTGTGCATATTGTGCTGTTTCTGATTCTTCTTCATTATATGGTGTTTGCACTGCAGCTGCATGGATCTTTCACTCCATTCAAACAAAAATACAACATATTTCTTACAATTAATTTTCAGATTGCTGCTGAAATTGCTGCTCCATTGGCCAAGACTGAGGAAATTGTGATGGTTGGTGGAGGGGATACCATGAGCAATGCCATTACCAAGATGTGTGGTGAGCTTCCCCCAGCTGTCCATGCCCTTACTGGTGTTGACATTACTAAGGTACACTATGTCTTTCAGAACCCCTAATATACAGCCTTTATGTACAGTGAAATTCTTTGGTTTATTTCCTGTAGTATGCTTCACTACTGAAGTCAGCTTATGCAGGCTTTAGATATGAAACGAAATAAACTCGACAGGTGAAATAGTCTATTTTCATTTTCATTTTATCATTTTTAGCTTATAAAATAATTAGAATATATGTTGCATGTAAAATATTCAGTGGACACGGCTTGTCTGTTCCAAACTGTTAATTATTGTAGGGACTGCTTGTTTCTTTGAGACATCTTGATTCTTATGCAGAAATGTAATATCATCACTACAACCAGCAGGTATTACAGTGGATACATGATTTTTATATCCAACATTGTGGTGTAGTGCACATGCATTTTTAATTAGCTGCAAAATGTTTTCTATATTTACACGTTATTTTTGTGTTGCATGGTTGACTACTTGTTGAATATTCTGAAGATCAGTATCCCCACAGCCTTGTCTCTGACCAGGCCTCCTGGTTACTGGTCTGATCAACTAGGCTTTTTGATGCGGCTGCTCACAGCCTGACATAAAGAGTCACAAACTGGTTAATCAGGTGTTTGTCGAGTTCCCTTTTGATCACTGCGAGAGGTTGACCAGTTATTCCTTGTATATGTAGGGAAAGAGTGTTGAAAAGTCTTGGGCCTTTGATGTTGTTCTCTTGCAGCATGCCTATTGCACCTCTTCTTTTCAGTGGTGGATATTTTCCACATCCAGCCATGCCTTCTGGTATCATGTGTTATTTCTGTGTGCATATTTGGAACTTGTCCTTTTAATATTTTCCAAGTGTAAATAATTATGTATCTTTCCTGCCTGTGCTTTAGGGAATAGATTTAAAATTGATAGGGGTCCCAGTAATTTAGATGTTTTAGTGAGTAGATTCTAATGTTAAAGGATCTTTGCACGCTCTCCAGGTCAACCATTTTCCCAGGTTTGAATGGGGCTGTTAGTGTGCAACAGTATTCCACTGTAGAGAGCACCGATGTCTTCAAAAGTATCATCATCGATGTTGCGTCTCTTGTTTGGAAGATTATTGTTATCCAACCTGACATTTTTTTTGCGGTTTTGACAACAACTTTGTTGTGTTTTTTAAAAGTAATGTCTTCTGACATGATTGCTCCTAAATCTTTTACATTGCTTTTTTCTTTCAGTAGTGTGATTTGAATGTGTTTTGTAGGTGGTTTCCTGCTTTGATGTTTTGATATATGGTGAGTATATTTATAGACAAATTACTGATAGATGGATAGAGAGTGTTTTATTGAAGTGATTTATGTTTACAGGTGCTAGCATCACTGCCAGGAGCCACAGTGACACCGTCAGGTCCCCCACGTGTTGCTCCCACTGCTGTGTAACAGCCTTAGTCACCGCAGGGATGGCCAGTGTCAGTAATGCCAGTACAGTAACAAAGGTGTCTGGAGGGACATTTAAGGAAAACACATTTCATTCTCTTAGTTTAATGTTTATTCAAACTATATCATAATACTGTAACAATTAGATGCTGTTCTCAAGAAAAAACACAAAAACATTTAAATTTCTTATAAGGATGTGCTCATTCATTATTAAAAAGGCTATTTTAATGCAATCCTGTCAGATTTGTGTCTTCTGCTAGTTATTGAAATACCAGATGATTTTTCTCTCAGTATTTTTATAAGAGCTCTTTGCATATGTATGCTACTTTAAGGAAAATAAACTTTTTAAAGGAAGTTCATTTTTTTATGATTTGTGATTACCCCATTTAAATAATGCTTGTTAACTTAGGAGATTATTAAATTATATTTTTAACTTGACATGGTACAGTTGTGGTTGAGTTGTAAAAGTTAATTACATATCCTGTATAATATGAGTTTAACATTAGTACTGTAACTCAGTGTTGAGTTACAGTAAACAATATTTCAACATTTTTAATTAATGTTTTAGCTATTGGCTGAAGACAATTTTAACAATATTTTGATAATTTTTGTGTATGTAGGTATGTATGTGTGTTACTAGTATTATTGTTTAGAAAGTATGAATTCAAATGAATTTGAAGATGATATCAATGTTATTTAGCTTAGGGGACTTGTGTTGTCGTGCAGAGATCATAAATAAGGAACATACAGTAATGCCTCATTTTTTGCCTGGGATGTGTTTTTGAAAATGCAAATATCCTTGCAAAAAACTTTGCAAACATCAAACTTTGAGATATAAGGTTAAAAAAAAGATGTGTTCCACAGACCTAAAATTCCACTTTTATCTCACTATAACACCTACTGGAACATTATTACTAAGTACTTCTGCCACCTTCTATTACAACACACTCTGCATTTAATACACTTGCTGTTTCTTGCAATGTTCATTACATCTGTTTCTTTCCAGTCACAAATGTACTGCTTAATAAACCTTCAAACACTTGCCAGTGATGTGTGTGGTATTATATACATTGCACAAAGAAATCACATTGTTATGATGTATCAGTGAGAACATCAATAAGACAAGTGTATTTGAAAAGAAGAGTTCGAGGTGATCTCCCAGACCACAGCCAGAGTACATGGGGGCAATACATGAAAACCCCTGGCTTGGCTTCAGTTGAGGCTTCGGGACCCCTAGAGGATTCGGGTTCAATCCCAGATAGCATTTCTTTTGACCATGTCGTGGTGTAGTGGTCTAAGGCATGTGCTTGAGAGTACCAAGAGCATAGGCTTGAAGCCACCTCGTGACCCTTACTGATTTTCTCGTTATATACATTATTTTCTATCTCTACCTTGGAGGGCTTATACTATAAAGATGGATTACCCTAGTTGGTGTATACTCAAAGGTAAGGACACTGGTTTACCATTGGTGGAGACATAAGCATTATTAGGCTTTTCCTGCTTGTCCTAGAGCAGTCATGTTTCCAACATTTCTTTTAATTTTTATATACAGTATTTTTACTACTAAATCATGTTAAATAATCATTCCAACTCATAAATCTGTTAGCCATTCCTTTTGACTAAAAATTTTGTATTAAAAGATATTCTGCAAAATTACACATACCAAAACTGTGAAAAGTGGGGGTTTACTCTATGTATTACTTTATTATGAGTTTTTATAATTATAGCTCATTTAGGTCTTCTAATGTGGATATTTTGGTTCCTAAATGGTATGCATATTTGTTTTCATTAAATCTCAGACTGCAACTATAATTTCAGAAGTCCTTCCTGTACTGTACGTGCAAACAAATGTATATTTATTTAATATTTTGTTTCCTATAGAATTAATGGAAAGTTATATATGTAAAGAAGGGGATAAATAGTAAATAAAAATTCCTGACCTAGTGTTTTTCTGGCACATTCACAAAGTTGTGCTCTGAAGCCAACTTTTGCCACTGCCAGCTGCATGTGGCCAAGACTGTATTTATCTATGCTGTGACACTTTTTACACTCTTCATTACATTGAAATTATTGTACTGTATATTGTAAGTCAAATATATTCTCTAATATTAGAAATCACTATAGTATTTTATTACTATTTACTACAAAATAATTACTCATTGACTTGTTGATAAATATCTAGATTTCATTTATTCTGTATTATAATAAGTTATTTTTTATGTTATGTTAGTACTAAAGAAAATAGAATTTTTTCATTAACTCAGTTGGGCTCGAAAGCCATCTATAGATGGCAGTGGTAACCCTTAATCCTTGGAGGGCACACATCATATATAGGATTTTGGTCTAACTGCCTGGAGGGTGTACATCATATATATATGATTTATTTAATTTAATATATTTAAAATAGTCCTGCACATACACAGCGCCCACATTTGCTTCCTCAGGCCTCCAATAACCATACCCCATCTTGAAAATAAATCCTGAGTCTCTCACTTTCCTTCTAGGGCCTTTATAAAAAAAAAAAAAATATCATTTTTGACACCACCATTCAGTATCTGAACATTTAGGGCAGCCATAGAGAAAACACTAAACTTTTAACAACAACAAATAAGTGATCACTATGTATATATTTCAGGTAAAAAGGTGTGCTATGTGTAATTTTAAGATTTAGGCTTATATATAGGCTTCAGCTCATGTCTTCCCAAAAAAATACAAATTCTTCAGGCCACTACAGCTAAACCACAAGGGGTAGAGACATTTTACTTGGATTTCCTGAAAGCTACTTAATGATGCCTAGAGACAAAATTATTTTTTCAGACCCTCTACAATTTTTTGTATGTGTCACAGGGATATTGGCATTTAACAGTAGTGCCCTCCAAGGGTCAAGCATCTCACTGCTGTAAGCTGCCTGCCACTTGTTAGAACTTAATATTTCTATTTCCATATGGCTAATTTGCCAACAATAACAAGAGAGAAAGTCATAAAAATGTGGCTGAAACAAATAATAACCTACACAAAATTCAGTCCATCCAAAGGCCTTAATATTCCAGGTCTCGCAGCACAAGGTTTAATATCATATTGGTCATTGGCCTGCAGTATTTATATAGAAGATGGTTATTGAAATCCTTTCTCAAAAAAGTTGCATTTAATTTTTTAAGTTTCATGTCATTCTTCGGATTATTATAGAGAGCTAGAGTAAAATTTGTCCTGGAACATGTTATTTACCTGAACTCATACTAAACCTAAGTTTTTAGTTCATGTAGAGTGTATGTTAAACTATTACAAAATTGTATTTGAGGTTGTCTATAAGGAAAATTAAAATGAAAACAGTTGTTTCTCACTCTGTGCCATTTTATTTTCATTGATCTTTCTCTCCTTTATTGTCAGTGAACATAAAATATATGCTGCCTTTTTTAATAATGTCTATACACACATATTGGGCACAAAAATATATGCTGCCTTTCTTAATAATGTCTACACACACATATTGGGCACATTCTTATACTTATTAAAGCCAATCATATTTTCTTTGTTTATATATAAATTAAACAATTTAATATTTATTAACAAAAAAGAACACGGTATATTGTTAGCGTTCCTAAAAATAAGAAAAAAACGTTAGGCTATTTTAACATGGACAAGAAATAATGAAGTGACTTTAACTGTGTGTATTGACTGTTTCTTACTTACCACCAAATTTTGTAGCTCTTTAAATATATTGTGAAGGTAAATTTACTCTCAGATATGTTGTTTCCTAATTTTAATTGTATCGAGTAAAAAGAGAAAGTACATAGTAGTCTAGGTGGATGTGTTTGTAAAGGATCTTGGAAAAAGTAGATTGTCCATCAATTGAGCTCATTAGCTAGCCAGATGATTGTCCACTCGCCTCTCAGTTGGTGTGAGAGGTTGGGTGATTATTATGATCATCTGTTTGCCAAGCATATCATAAGAAACAATTAAAATGAATTGGTAAAAGTAGAAATCCTCATGGTTAAGATGGCTATACCAGTATATAGCATCATAATTTCATCTGTTCTTCAAGAAGTAAACTGGTCATTACCTGGTTAATTGTATAATGGGAGCAGGTTATTGGCTGCTTGCTTCATTGAATCAAAATTTAAATCTATGTGACCTATATTCTGTTAAGCAGTTAATTATCTAATACTATAGCACAGGTGTTATATTACTAACAGATTTTGAGTACAGTACTGTACTCCTTCAATCAGAAAAAAACATATCAAGCTCAATCAGCTATATTTGAAAATTCAGCTGGTTCGTTAGCAACCAGCATCATCATAAGTAAAGGGATGGCTGATTCAGCAATGGCATTCTCTCCATGATGGTCATCTGCTAATTCAGATTCTTTGTTCCCCAAACATCCACCGTCCCTCGTATATGATATTTGTTTAGCCAAGATGAAGCTTGGCTCTCACTGCCAGCTGTTGTGTGCTTTTTATATACAGTACTTGTATACATATTATAATTTAGTAGAATGTTAATGTATTATTGTATTATAAGATTTTGTTTGTGTCATGTATGTGTTATTTCAGGTTCAGAATGATAATGATGGATTGTATTTATTCTTTTTGCTTGTTGTTTTCTTGAAAGTAAATAATGAATCACACTTTTTGGAGAGAAAAATGAAATAGATAAATTTTAACTGAAATTGAGTTTCTGATATGAAATAAATGCACAAGCATTGTTCATATGCATTAGGAAAACTTTGTGTTGTGTTGTTTAGCCAAACATTTTGTATTACGAGTATTACAGAGGTATGCAATGTACCAGCCAGTAGCGATATGTCAGTAAACTCAGGGCATATGTACATGTTACTTTGACTTTGAAAGCTGTTTGGAAATTCAATAAATTTGGATGTTTTGTTTTAAATACAGCCATGAAATATTTTTTTGTAAGCAACTGGAGTTTTAAATGTGTGTTAACTAGTGTGCCTCATAACAGGTGCAGTGTATTTTCTGGTTTGCTTTATTTTCTGGTTAAAATTTTGTAATTTGAAGTTGAAGTATTATTTAATCATGATATCTAGAGACCTTTTTTTTTTTTAAATGGTGAGGTGAATAGGATTAGCTCATGTTGAAGATTTTCTGTTAAAAATGAAAGTGCATGAATTTTTTGTTGCCTTAAATCAATAATTGAAAATAATCATGATGTCAGCCTGTCAAGAAGTTTCAGTTGTCATATAATCAAGATCATAATTTGAAATAGATGCATTCCTTTGCCCCTTTATATATTTTATTTTGTGTTCAGTAACTACTAGTGTATACAGTTTTATGTATATTTTGTATAATGACTACATAGTAGATAGGATACAGTAATATTTATATATATATATATATATATATATATATATATATATATATATATATATATATATATATATATATATATATATATTATATATATATATATATATATATATATATATGTCGTACCTAGTAGCCAGAACGCACTTCTCAGCCTACTATGCAAGGCCCGATTTGCCTAATAGCCAAGTTTTCATGAAATAATTGTTTTTTTCGACTACCTAACCTACCTAACCTAACCTAACTTTTTCGGCTACCTAACCCAACCTAACCTATAAAGATAGCTTAGGTTAGGTTAGGTAGGGTTGGTTAGGTTCGGTCATATATCTACGTTAATTTTAACTCCAATAAAAAAAATTGACCTAATACGTAATGAAATGGGTAGCTATATCATTACATAAGAAAAAAATTAGATAAAACATATTATTTCAGGAAAACTTGGCTTATTAGGCAAATCGGGCCTTTTATAGTAGGCCGAGAAGTGCGTTCTGGCTACTAGGTACGACATATATATATATATATATATATATATATATATATATATATATATATATATATATATATATATATATATATATATATATATATATATATATATATATATATATATATATATATATATATATATATATATATATATATATATATATATATATATATATATATATATATATATATATATATATATATATATATATATATATATATATATATATATATATATATATATATATATATATATATATATATATATATATATATATATATATATATATATATATATATATATATATATATATATATATATATATATATATATATATATATATATATATATATATATATATATATATATATATATATATATATATATATATATATATATATACATACATACATACATACATACATACATACATACATACATACATACATACTGGTATGTATATTTTTTTAGTTATATTAACTTTGTTTCTTTTATAATTTATGAAAGATATCATAATTAATTACAATATATGCCCTTTATAAATAACTATACAATTTCACTATTTTGAAACACAGATATCTTCCACATTGTCACTTGGATTCAATATAAAATATTTAAATTTTTAATATTGCTTTATAGCACAAGACAAGTTGACAATTGTCCCCACGAAGACACATGGTAGGAGGAGTAAAAGTTTTGTCATTTATTATTTTTACCCTTTTTTTTTTTTTAAGCCGCACTGATCCTGAAGGCCATTTGAATACCATTATTTCCAAACCATGCTTTTGTCTTCATAACTATATCCTGTTTTTTTTCTATATTTCTACTTATGAGCACCTGATAAGCAGCCTACAGTTTTGTTTCCTTAAATGAAATGTGTAATTTCTTAGCTCAGGCAAAATATGTTAGTATATAAGGAATATACAGCTGTGGGTATTGTCTTCTGGAGTGTGTTGGTACTCGAGTTCTGTGATGCTGCCAAGTGTGGAAGTTTGGAAGTCACTATATAACTTTAAACCTCTTTTTAATTTTTCCTCTCCTTCCTCTCCCCTATACTGTACTGTAACACTTTTCCATTCTTTCCCAGTGGTTTCCTTTTCATCCTGTTAAGTAAGAATTAGGGTAGTTATAATGTTACCATCTTTATGGCAAATTTTTCAGTGATGAAATAGCCAAATTAACACTCGGAACTCTTCAACACCATCTTGAATATTTTGTGGTTTTAATTTTCCGAGGAATCATATTGAAGTGGTTGGTTACTGGAGTATTTAGGAAAGCTATTGTATCATATGGCTATGAATTTGCAGGAATATGTTTACATGCACTAGATAGGTAGATGAGATTTTAGTTTAATATTTTTATTATTATGAATAGTTAATATGTACAGCCTTTTGTGTTGCATGGTTATAGACTTCAGAACTCTTAGATGTGTGTGTGTAATGGATAAGATTAATGACCTATCAGGATCGGTGATAGAGATCACATTGGCAAGGCTGTATCTTCCCACTAACAGGGTAAGCACAGGAGCAAGTTTGAGTACAAAGTTTATACTGTATTAGTAAAGATTGTCATGTAATCCTATATAAGAGAAGTTAGTTAATAAAAGAAATAGTCTCAAACATAACTAGTAACTGAGGTTCTTCTTTTCTAGTTAATCATCAAATTTTGCTTCAGATGGTGTTTACTAGCTTGTGAAATACAAAGCACATTTATAGTTGATTTCAATATACAAAAAAAAATTGGTGATTTGATCATTGCAATTATGTTGATAGTATCAATGAAGCTATATAATAAATTGCTTCAAAGAAAGAAATTCTGAAATTAATGCATATTGGTAAATTCCTTATTACTTGGAGCAGTCAAAATAGAGAGGCTAAAATTGTGAAAAAAGTAAAGCATTTACTTCTCAGGTTAATGGAAGAAGGATGGAATATCTTTACTGACAAATCCCCCAGTGCCTGTGTAAGTTGTAATAAGTGGCATCATAATCACTAGTAAAATAATTCATAGCAATTACTTTCTGCTATTCCAGTAATGAGTAGCGCTTTGATATCTTTATATTACATGACAGTTTGTTAGTATCTTGGGTGTACTGCTACAGAGCATGCACCAACCCTTTGAAGTAGTGCCATATATTTTGTATTTGTATAATGATGCCTAAATATTACTCACAAATATTTGCTACTACTGTATTTGCCTTTGGAACTTGAACAAACGTTTCTTGTATTGGTGGACACATGTGTGTCAATGAAATTCTGTGCTGTCCTTAGCCTTCAGACATTCACAAGATCTCAAAATTTCTATTATTCAGCAATATTTGCTCATTGTGTCTTTAGAATATGTATGAGGATTTTTCATGTTTAAAGGATAATTTTCTAATATGTTCCTTCTTTGTTTTGAATTTTTGTTATTTTAAATTATGTACCTTGAATTTGTTTTATTGGTTTAAATGGAAGGATTCAATATTTCTGCATATGAGTATTTACACTTCTCATAAACTCATCGTTCGTGCCTTCCCAGATTACGGGATCCAAAAAAATGATCTAATCCAGAAACTGCTACTTTTTCACTTTATAAATAGCCTACAAATGACTAGATGTCAGTAAGCTAGTTGTGCAAGTGAGAGAGAGAGTGTAACTACCTCTATACTGGAGCTACACAAGCATGATATCACGTCATCTCACCGTGTACTGGCACACTTGCCTCTATTCTAAAGCAGCATTTCCAGGTGTATTAAAACATTATATGCACTCATTGTATGTCCAATTTTGCCCGCAGTTGCTGGTGCATATACAACAGAGGTAACACTTAGCATGTCACAAAACTATACAAGTTTATATTACGAGCATTACCTGCTATTAATTTAGGATGTTAGATGACATTGGCACTCAGTGTTTTAGAGAATACCCATGCTCTGTTTTTAGAGTAAAGGGTTAATGCATTTATTTAGAGT